TACCTAATTTGTTCATAAGTTTCAAAAACGCATTAATTCTAGGAATTATTTTATAAATTGTATTGTATGGAATACAATTTTACGAATGCTTTTCTATTCCTTTAAAAAATAATTGTGTAATATACTTTAGAAATTAATACTTAATTTGTTCAAACTGTTCATAAATTATAGGAATTATTTCATAAATTGTATTTTAACACAGTTTTTAAATCATTTTAGTCATGTTTAGCTTTGAGTTGAGCAATAAAATTAAACTTTGTACAAAATACTAATTAATAGAAAAGTTTCAGGTTTTGTTAATTGTTATTTTTTAAATTTCACGTGATTCCACTTAAAATGATAATACATTTGTAAATTTCTTTATTACAATTAGTAAAAAAAAAAAATACCATTTTGTTTTTATTTTTAATTGTACAAATTATGTAACCCAGTATAAGTACAAAACAAATATTGTCTGTATATACAGCTTTTAATAATTAGATTGAAAATAGCTGATAATTTCCCTTCATGAAAATTGATTCTATTGTCAAGTGGTGACGATGATGTCGATGAAAATTACTAATAATAACAATCTAATTTTCATTCAAAATAATTCAGTTGACGTATTTTGAAAAGTCATAAGAGGAATATAAATAAAAAAAACAACAACAAAAAATTTTTATTGAAATATAAAATTCATTACAGTAGATATCGGATATAAGAAACTCAAAAAAAGCCGGATATTTCTTTATTATATGCGTTTTTTTCTTACATGGAATTATCCGATATAAGAAAGTATAAGCTCGGTGTTTTTGATAACCTTTCTTATATGCGATTTTTTCTTATATGAGATGTGCTTATATCCGATATCTACTGTACAGAGAATGACAGACAGCCACTACTTGTTTATTATTTGAGAAGAACAGCAACAAAAAAAAAATAAATGTGTTTTTAGGCAGCTGGAAAAGTTGGGAATTATTTACTATATCTTTTTCCATCACATTTTACACAATTTTTAGACAAAAACATATATATATATATATATATAAATAAAAAATAAATAATGTTTAACAATTTTTCTTAAAAATTGTACAATTGTGAAAAAATAACCTTCAAAGAAATGATTAATTTTTTCTATTTACTTTACCATAAAATTTTGTTTTATATCATGACAATTGAGTTTGGGAGTGTTTATTTTTCGTGCCTACTCCCGCACCCTCACCTTAAATAAATGACATTGTTCCTCAAGATGTTGCTTTTACAAAAAAAAAAAAAAATACCAAGAAATTATACTTATGGGACGATTACGGATGGCAACTATAGTTCAGTGGCGTTGCCAGTTGCCAAATTTGAATTATGGATGGCAACTGGAGTCAACGTCAGTTGCTTTAAATATAATTTTTCGGCAACCATTTATTTCTGGTTGCTGTTTGGTGTTTAACAATAATAACTGAAATTTATAGGCTTCCAATAATGGTTAAAATTACTACCAAAGAACAATTTGAGGTCTTAATTGCGCGGATGGAAGCTAACCCAAATGTAGCACGCGGCGTGCGGACTTTTGGTCAAACCAAAGCCACTATCGATGATGTGTGGAAGGCCATTTCAGAGGACCTTAACTGCTATGGCCCACCAATACGCACTCCAAATGAATGGCAGAGAGTGTGGGTTCATTTTAAAGCAAAGTTGAAAAAGAAGATGGCGCAAAATAAAAGAAACCATAACATCACCGGAGGTGGACCATCGCAAGAAGTGTCGTTATCAGCATTGGAGCAGGCGGCAGCGGACCTGTTACAAATGGATTGTACATTAAATCCAGAAGGTGCCCTATTTGGGGTTACATCAGATACATTGGATGTGGAGGAACTGCTTGAAATCGAGCCAATCACTGATAAGGAACAGGAAAATATGGTGAAACAAGTTAAGATGGACAACGAATGCCAGAATTTACGAAAAAGAGTACGGAAGGAAGATAAAAAGGTCGATATACTAAAAGAGCAAACGGCAACTCAAAGTGAACTTTCGAGTACAATAAAAAGAATTGAAAAAGATCTGTATAAACAAAATGAAATAATGAAAGACATCAAAGACCTACAAAGGAAAAATTATGAGATTTTTAAAGAAATTAAAGAAATGAAAAAGAGGAAATATGAAGCACAAGCAGAGGAACATAAACTAAACGTGGAAATTAAAAAAATAAAACTAAAATTATTAGAAGAACAACTGCAATGTCTACATAAGGGAAATATGTAATGTTTATAATTGAAACAACTATTATTTTATTATTATTTGAATATTATTACTTGTATTACATATTTGATTAACTGAAATAAAATATCCTTTTTAAATTTTATCCATTTAAGCTCTGCGTAATTGTTCTTCGTATATCTAAGGCAATAGAACTACCACTTTCATTTTCGCTTATGATTGGTACATTTACTACTGTAGGAACTTCTTCCCAATGAGCATTATAATGCCTGCCAATATTGTACAATGCGCAACACGCATTCACAATAGATATGCACTTTTGAGGCGTATAGTGCAGGCCACGTTCTGCAGAAAGGCATCTGAACACAGACTTTAGAACCCCATTAGTTCGTTCAATTATATTACGAGCCTTTGAATGAACGGTATTGTATTTACCTTCAGGCGAATGCGGTTCGGCTGAGCGGTATGGAGTCAATAATTGTGGTTCCAATGGGAATCCAGCATCACCTAAAATTTTCCAATTATGAAGATAATTAGAACTATAAGTATATATAACAACCTAGTAGCCAGGTATTTGGCCCGAAATCATCTGCGATCTCTTGCTTCAGTGGGCTATTATTCCATATGAAGGCATCATGTGTAGATCCAGGATGTCTACCGTCAACATACCTGATCCGCATTTGATAATCGCACATCTACAAAACAAGTATCTATGTGAAAATAATAATTATTTTTGCATAAAAAACTCACCAGCAAAACATTTAAACTAAAGTAGCCTTTCCTATTTAAATATAAATGACGAACATCTTCTTTTGGGCCCATGATATGTACGTGTGTGCCATCTATACATCCGACAACACCCGGGAACTTTGTTTTCGAATAAAAATAATGTTTATTCTTCCTTTTTTCTTCCTCTGTTAATTTGGAAACAATCCAAATTTTTTTTTCTATTAGCCGGACAACTTCGGTCAAAACCACCGACATCGTGGGTTGACCCATGCCAAGGTTGAAGTCATTGCCATGGGACTTTTGAAAACTTCCATCCGCAAAAAACCTCAGAGCTGCACACACTTTTAAGAGAGGAGGAATTGCTGTTGACCGTCGGGCTTTTCGGAAACCAGGATTTAATGCGTCAACTAAGTAAACAACGGCATCTTTTGGTAGCCGAAAATACGCCTTAAAGCTAAAACGAGCAGTTGATTGAACATTTCTCCAAACATAAACACCTACTCACAGTACGGATGGTAGTTCTAATGGATTCTATTTATCTCTTAAATGCCTTCTAATAGACGCCACGCCTTGGACATCATTTTCATCATCAAAAAATAGTTCCACTGAGCTTATCATCACTTAAAATTCTTGTTTCTGAAATATTCTATTCAATTTTTTGTTTGTTTACAAATATTTCTAATATATTTCTAGTTGTAGAAATGTCAAAACAGTATTATCGACGGCAACTGAGAAAAGTTGATATCCATAATGTTAACTTTTATTTCAGTGGCGTTGCCAGTTGACATAGCAACTGGAGTTTGGTTGCTATCCATAATCGACCCATTAGTTTCATGTTTTTCTTTAGAGATAAGCAGCGATTGTTCAACAAATTTACCCTTGTGTATTAACTTTTATTTTTATTTAACTTTTTGGTCATGAAAAAATGTACCAAAGTACCGCATAACTATATTTGGTTAGAATTAATCAGCCGGATATTAATTTGTTAGGGTGAAAATGCTCACTAGTGAGAAATTTCTCCCCGGCGTATATCCCGGCATTTCTAGGGAGTTATTTCTAAAAACAGATGTTATTTTTATTAAAATATTTATTTTGTCAATCAATTTTTTGTAGGCCTGTGTTAAAGCCGCTTTGTTATAATTTGTAGGGGTTTTTTGTGTTAATTTTCTGCTGAAGTAACAAATTATTAATCAATTGCATAAGTCAGCAGAGCGACGAACAAATAAATGTGACACAAAAACACGTGTGTGTCGGTCGGATTGGCATACATGAAATCAGTCGCTTTTTTGATTAAATGCAAATATTTACAGACTGTTTTTTATTACAAAAAATTGCAACAACAATAAAAAAAGGAAATTGTAATTGAAGATGATGCGACACAATTTAGACAATAAAATAAATAATAAAAATAAAAAAAATATTTTTTTATAATTCTAAGTGGTAAAAAACATTTGAATAAAATTAAAAAAAAAAATGAAATTTTATTCAAGTGTTTTTTTGTATTTTTTTCCAAAAAATTTCAAAAAATCAATGATCACCATTCATTATTTTTCCTCTTTTGTGTACTCAAATATTTAGCACTTTTCTTAAAACCCATAAAAATACAACACAAAATGTTTGCTATTGTATTATTATTTGTTTTTTCCTAATATTATTGTTGTTGTTGCTGTTGTTTTTTATTGTTATTATTATTAAATAATGTGCTAAAATTCCATGAATGAACAAAAAAAAAGAGGAAATTTTTTTAGCCAGGCAACCGAACCAAACCTCCTCCTCCTCCTCTTTTGCAATGCTAAATCATAACTAAAAACCAACAACAACGACAAACAAATTTTAGTCATAATGATTATCAGTGGCGCACAAACAATCCACCCAACCACGCCATCATGCGGGGTAATGAAATCAAAACTCATGACTTCACGTGTTGAAAAAATGTGTGTATGGTTGTTTGTTTTTTTTATTAATTTTTGAGATAAATCGACTTTTTTTGTTTTTGCATAGTTTTTTAGTTTTTAAATATTTTTGTTGTTTTTTTTTCTATTAATAAATTACTAATTTTATATTTTTTTTCTATTTTTTTGCAGGGCTCTTCCAAACCCGCTTCTTTGTCACATTTATGCTCTTCCTGGGCATGGCCAATGCCTATGTGATGCGAACAAATATGTCTGTGGCCATTGTCGCCATGGTCAATCATACGGCCATCAGTGATGGTCATGAAGATGTTATGGATGATGAATGCCCGGATTCCAATTATACTGAAGTGGTAAGTTGGCGGGGAAGTTTTAGAAAAATAATATAAAAAGAATCTTTAGGTCCTGAGAATCAATTTTCAGGCCCTAAAGATAGCGGTTTTTTTTTTGGAAAAAATGTTAGGGCGTGAAAATCTTTAAAAACAATTTTCAATTTTGAAAAAATAATTGAAAAAAAATATTGGGCAACTCCACGCCTTAGCTGGGCCTTGAAAAAAATTATTTTAAAAATCCACGCCTTAGCTGGGCCTTGAAAAAAATTATTTTAAAAATCCACGCCTTAGCTGGGCCTTGAAAAAAATTATTTTAAAAATCCACGCCTTAGCTGGGCCTTGAAAAAAATTATTTTAAAAATCCACGCCTTAGCTGGGCCTTGAAAAAAATTATTTTAAAAATCCACGCCTTAGCTGGGCCTTGAAAAAAATTATTTTAAAAATCCACGCCTTAGCTGGGCCTTGAAAAAAATTATTTTAAAAATCCACGCCTTAGCTGGGCCATGAAAAAAATTATTTTAAAAATCCACGCCTTAGCTGGGCCTTGAAAAAAATTATTTTAAAAATCCACGCCTTAGCTGGGCCTTGAAAAAAATTATTTTAAAAATCCACGCCTTAGCTGGGCCTTGAAAAAAATTATTTTAAAAATCCACGCCTTAGCTGGGCCTTGAAAAAAATTATTTTAAAAATCCACGCCTTAGCTGGGCCTTGAAAAAAATTATTTTAAAAATCCACGCCTTAGCTGGGCCTTGAAAAAAATTATTTTAAAAATCCACGCCTTAGCTGGGCCTTGAAAAAAATTATTTTAAAAATCCACGCCTTAGCTGGGCCTTGAAAAAAATTATTTTAAAAATCCACGCCTTAGCTGGGCCTTGAAAAAAATTATTTTAAAAATCCACGCCTTAGCTGGGCCTTGAAAAAAATTATTTTAAAAATCCACGCCTTAGCTGGGCCTTGAAAAAAATTATTTTAAAAATCCACGCCTTAGCTGGGCCTTGAAAAAAATTATTTTAAAAATCCACGCCTTAGCTGGGCCTTGAAAAAAATTATTTTAATAATCCACGCCTTAGCTGGGCCTTGAAAAAAATTATTTTAAAAATCCACGCCTTAGCTGGGCCTTGAAAAAAATTATTTTAAAAATCCACGCCTTAGCTGGGCCTTGAAAAAAATTATTTTAAAAATCCACGCCTTAGCTGGGCCTTGAAAAAAATTATTTTAAAAATCCACGCCTTAGCTGGGCCTTGAAAAAAATTATTTTAAAAATCCACGCCTTAGCTGGGCCTTGAAAAAAATTATTTTAAAAATCCACGCCTTAGCTGGGCCTTGAAAAAAAAAATTATTTTAAAAATCCACGCCTTAGCTGGGCCTTGAAAAAAAATTATTTTAAAAATCCACGCCTTAGCTGGGCCTTGAAAAAAATTATTTTAAAAATCCACGCCTTAGCTGGGCCATGAAAAAAATTATTTAAAAAATCCACGCCTTAGCTGGGCCTTGAAAAAAATTATTTTAAAAATCCACGCCTTAGCTGGGCCTTGAAAAAAATTATTTTAAAAATCCACGCCTTAGCTGGGCCTTGAAAAAAATTATTTTAAAAATCCACGCCTTAGCTGGGCCTTGAAAAAAATTATTTTAAAAATCCACGCCTTAGCTGGGCCTTGAAAAAAATTATTTTAAAAATCCACGCCTTAGCTGGGCCTTGAAAAAAATTATTTTAAAAATCCACGCCTTAGCTGGGCCTTGAAAAAAATTATTTTAAAAATCCACGCCTTAGCTGGGCCTTGAAAAAAATTATTTTAATAATCCACGCCTTAGCTGGGCCTTGAAAAAAATTATTTTAAAAATCCACGCCTTAGCTGGGCCTTGAAAAAAATTATTTTAAAAATCCACGCCTTAGCTGGGCCTTGAAAAAAATTATTTTAAAAATCCACGCCTTAGCTGGGCCTTGAAAAAAATTATTTTAAAAATCCACGCCTTAGCTGGGCCTTGAAAAAAATTATTTTAAAAATCCACGCCTTAGCTGGGCCTTGAAAAAAATTATTTTAAAAATCCACGCCTTAGCTGGGCCTTGAAAAAAATTATTTTAAAAATCCACGCCTTAGCTGGGCCTTGAAAAAAATTATTTTAAAAATCCACGCCTTAGCTGGGCCTTGAAAAAAAATTATTTTAAAAATCCACGCCTTAGTTGGGCCTTGAAAGATTTATTTTACAAATCCATGCCTTCTATTTGTTTCCCTTTTTTCTAATAAAAAATAAATGTCTTCTCCCTTCCAGGACAATGGACAAGATGGTGAATTTGCCTGGGATTCCGCTTTACAGGGTTACATTTTATCATCCTTCTTCTATGGCTATGTCATCACACAGGTAATTATTTTATTTTCTTCTTCTTCCTGCATTACAAATACTCACCTTCCTCTATTTTTTCTCCCCCCTCCTCCAGATTCCCTTTGGCATGTTGGCCAAGAAATATGGTGCTCTCAATTTCCTCGGTTATGGCATGTTAATCAACTCGGTCTTTGCCTTCTTGGTGCCCGTCGCAGCTCGTGAAGGTGGCGTTTGGGGCTTGTGTGTTGTCCGCTTCATTCAAGGTTTAGGTGAAGGTCCCATTGTACCCTGTACTCATGCTTTGCTGGCCAAATGGATTCCACCCAATGAACGGTCAAGAATGGGTGCCGCCGTCTATGCTGGGGCACAATTTGGTACAATTATATCTATGCCGTTGTCGGGTCTCTTGGCTGAATACGGTTTTGATGGAGGCTGGCCCTCTATTTTCTATGTATTCGGGGCGGTGGGTACCATTTGGTCTATTGCTTTCCTTATTTGGGTCTATGAAGATCCTTCAGCGCATCCCAGCATCAATGAACAGGAAAAGAAATATATCAACACCTCACTGTGGGGTACCACGGAAGTTAAGGTGGGTGTTTTTTTTTTCAACATTAATTTGAACATTGTTTGAATTCATAATATTTTTTTTTGTCCCTATTGCAGAGCCCACCCATTCCCTTCAAGTCCATTTTCAAATCGTTGCCCTTCTATGCCATCCTGTTGGCTCACATGGGCCATAACTACGGCTATGAAACCCTGATGACTGAATTGCCCACCTACATGAAACAAGTCTTGAGATTTTCATTGAAATCCAATGGTTTGTTGTCCTCCCTACCCTATTTGGCTATGTGGATCTTTTCGATGGGTATTTCTGTGGTCGCCGATTGGATGATCTCCTCAAAACGTTTCAATCACACACAAACCAGAAAGGTCATGAATTCGATTGGTATGTTTTTTTTCGACCTCAATTCGTATCTCTTGCTTAACTAATCTTTGTGTAATTTTTCTCCAGGTCAATATGGTCCCGGTTTGGCCTTGGTTGCCGCCTCCTATACCGGCTGTGATCGTGTGCTGACATTGGCCATTCTCACCATTGGCGTGGGTTTGAATGGTGGCATCTATTCAGGTTTCAAAATAAATCATTTGGATTTGACACCCCGCTTTGCTGGCTTCCTAATGGCCATCACAAACTGTATGGCCAATTTGGCTGGTCTATTGGCACCCATTGCTGCTGGCAATTTAATTAATAATCAGGTAATTATCGGGAGAATTAAAAAATTGAAAAAAAAAATATTTTAAAAATCCGCGACCTAACAAAAAATTATTTTGCAACCCGCCTTCTATGGACCTAAAAAAATTATTTTGCAATTCCAGGCCTTCTATGGACCTTGATTTTTTTTGCAATTCCACGCTTTCTATGAGCCCTGAAAAATATTATTTTGTAGCTCCAAGCCTTCTATGGGCCTTGAAAAAAATATTTTGCAACTCCACGCCTTCTATAGGCCTTGAAAAAAACTACTTGGCAACTCCACGCCTCCTAAAGGCCTAACAAAAAATTATGTTGCAACTCCACGCCTTCTATGGGCCTAGAAAAAAAATTATTTTGCACCTCCACGCCTTATATGGGCCTTGAAAAAAATTATTTTGTAACTCCACGCCTTCTATGGGCCTTGAAAAAAAATATTTTGTAACTCCACGCCTTCTATGGGTCCTGAAAAAAATTATTTTGCAAATCCACGCCTACTATGGGCCTAGAAAAAAAAAATTTTGCAACTCCACGCCTTCTGCGGGCCTAGAAAAAAATTATTTTGCAACTCCAGGGTTTCTATGGACCTAGAAAAAATTGTTTTATAAATCCACGCATTCTGTGTGGGCCTGAAAAAAAAATATTTTATAAATCCACGCCTTCTGTGGGCCTTGAAAAAAATTATTTTAAAAAATCACGCCCTGAAAAAAATTATTTTGTAAATCCCTGCCTTCTATGGGCCTCGAAAAAATTATTTTAAAAATCCACGCCTTAGCTAGGCCTTGAAATTTTATTTTTTCGTAAAAATAACTAATTTTGATATTTTTTTCGATTTTCCTTCCAGCCCACAATTGCCCAATGGCAAAAGGTATTCTTTATTGCCGCCGCCATTTACATCATTGCCGGTACCTTCTTCAATATCTTCGGTAGCGGTGCTCGCCAATACTGGGATAATCCCGAAAATGATGTGCGGGATAACAATGCTCTGGAATCACAGACACATGTCAGCAGTCAAGAGCAAGAGGAGGCTGCACGAAGACGGATAACAGCAGCCACCATTACAGCTAATCAATAATAGATACTACTACTAATAATAATAGTTATAATAAAAACCACAACAACAACAAAAGCATAGTTTGTAAATAATTATATTTTATATAGTAATAATTAATTAATGTACAGCGTCTTGTGTATACACAAATGAAAAAAGGCTAAATACAACAACATTTTTTTTTGTTTTGTTTTAGAAAATAAGAAAAAGAAACTAAAAGAATTTTAATTGTTAATTTTAAAAATAAATTGTAATAAAAGAAATTAAAAGAATTATTAAAAGGGGGAGGGAAGTTTGAAAAATCTTCCTCCATCATAATCAATAACAAATAAAATACAAAAGACATTAAAAATCAGGAACATTGTGTGAAACATGATATAAAAAATCAAAACTATTATTATTATTAATTTTTTTATTATTATAGTAATTATTATTATAATAATTATTATTACTGCTAGTGATAATTAAACGAAATATGTTATTAATTTTTTTTAGTTATTATTTTTTTTTGTTTCCTTGTTTATTTTTTGTTTTGTAAAATAATTATTTATGATTTTTTTAAATACCATACAAAACCACTGAAAGATTAACTAATTATTATTTTTTTATATGGAAACTAGTTAAAAGGTCCACTTTATAATAATAAAAAATGAAAAAGTTTATAAAACTACAACAACCACAAAAACAAGAAACATAATTATTTGGTAATGAAAATAAGCTAAATTTGAGTATTGATAAAAAATGATACATAATTAATTTTTTATAAAAAAAAAAAAATTTATAAAAAAAATTAAATTAAAAAATTAAAAAAAAAAAAATTCAATTTAATTTAAAAAAATTCTGGAAAACATTTCTAATTAATAAAAAATTTTGATATAAAAAATAATGGATAAATAAATTTTTTTTTATTAAAAATAAAATTTTTAAAAAATTGAAATATTTTTTGAAAAAAAATATATTTTTTTAAAGATTTTTGTAAAAATTGATATAAAAAATATAAAAAAATATATATTTTTTCGAATTTAAATGTTTCCAATATCTTATTTTATCAAAATATAAATTTAGCTTATTTGCCATTACTTTTCATTTTCGAGACCCAAGAAAGCAACTACAACAAATATCAGTATATTTAAATTTAAAACAAATTTTAGTTAATTAAAAAAGTGGAGAAGAAAGATGATAAAGAGCCGTAAGAGAGATTTCTAAAATTTCTTTCCAGAAATAAAATTTCAAAATAATAAAAAAAACATTAAGTACCTCATATATTTGTGAAAAGAAAATAACTTTTTTCAAAAGAATGTCTCTCTCTCTTATGAGAATTAATACAAAAAATACAACAAAAGATTTCAGAACAATAAATATTAATTTAAAAAAAAATCAACAGTTTTTTGAAAGAAAGAAAAATGTATTTTTTATGTTTGTTAAAAAGAAAACACATTTTTATTAAAAAAAAAACAAAAAAAAAATAAAATCGAAATAAAAAATGATTTTACAATTATTGCCATACTCCAACAAACAAACAAATTTTGAGTTTTTATTATTAAAAACATATTTTTTAAATATCCTTATTCGTTGACTTATATGTTAAAAATATATTTAAAAAAATCCACAATGTTTTATATACCGTAAGGATATTTATACCCTTCACCACACTGTGGTACAGGGTATTATGTCTTTGTGCATATGTTTGTAACAGGCAAAAGAAAACGAGATGGGCACATGGTTCCTTTTGAGAATATGCACAAAATCACTTTCTAAGTCGATTTATTCATGTCCGTCCGTCCGCCCGCCTGTCTGTCCATGTTAAATTGTAAACAAAGTACAGGTCGCATTTTTGATTCGAATTGAATGAAATTTGGCACAGCTCATTCATTTGGCCCAAGGACGAACCCTATTGAAATTGGGAATATCGGTTCAGATTTAGATATAGCTCCCATATATATTTTCGTCCGATTTAAGGTAAATGGTGCACCAAAGTCCCCAAATATCTTTCGATTCGCATGAAATTTGGCACAGCGTACTGAATTGAGCCTAGAATGATGTGCGCTAAGTTTCGTGAAAATCGGTTCAGATTTAGATATAGCTCCCATATATATTTTCGTCCTATTTAAGGTAAACGGTGCACTAAATTCCTAAATATCTTTTGATTTGCACGAAATTCGACATAGCGTACTGAATTGAGCTTAGAATGATGTATGCTAAATTTAGTGAAAATCGGTTCAGATTTAGATATAGCTCCCGATTTAAGGTAAATGGTGCACTAAAATACCTAAATATTTTTCGATTTTCACTAAAATCGGCACAGCGTACTAAATTAAGCCTAGAATGATGTGTGCTAAAATTAGTGAAAATCGCAGTGAAAATACATATTTTCGCCCGATTTAAGTTAAATGGTTACCAAAGTCCCCATATATAGCGAAATTTGGCACAGCGTACTGAATATATACAAAGTTTCGTGAAAATCGGTTCAGATTTAGATATAGCTCCCATTAAAATTTTTGTCCGATTTAAAGTAAATGTTTCACCAAAGTCCCCATATATCCTTCGATTTGCACGAAATTTGGATTTATTAAAAATGGCCGAATGTACAAAACTTAGCCTAGTGTAGCCTGTGACAAGTTTCGATAAAATCGGTTTAGATATCGATATTTTGCTTGAAATTTATTTACATAATTTTGTCCCATTGTAAGAAGCAACTCTATATCTGACCAAAATTTAGTATAAGTTGCAGAATGACATGGCTATGGATCCAAGTTCATGGTAATAGTCCTTCAAAAATGCATTTGCAATGAAAATTTTCAAAAATTTTTGCAATGAAAATTTTCAAAAATTTTTAATGGAGCTTAGAAAATATTTTTTTAACAAATCGGCACTTTCTGATAAGCCTAAAAAATATTTTTAAAAAAATCGCCTCTGGTTAATAAGCCAATTTTTTTTAATTCCCTCTCTATGAATAGCCCTTTATGCTCTTGTTGAAAAATAGTTTTTAAATCAAGGCGTGGATTTATTAAATTATTTTTTTAAGCCCCCATATAAGGTGGGTAATAATAAACCATGAATTTTAAAAAACAAAACATTTATTTCGTTTTACTTAAAATTTATTATATGAAAAAGAAAAACAAGTATATAACATAAGTTTGGATTGTAATCTCTTTCTTAGAAAATATATAAACAGCCGAAGAAAAGAAGATAGTCTTTATGGAGACAGGAGATGTTCATTATGGAGGCAGGAGATGTTCATTATGAGGTTGTATATGTTATATCATAAAATAGTTTTCATACAAATACAAATATTAGAAAACTAAACTTAAATAAAATTGGGGGAAACATGGAATGGTGACAAAGAACAAATAAAAAATACATATCATAACAAGTCAAAGTACAACATAACAGAAATAAAATTCTATTTTCTTTTTTAATAACTAAATTAGTTTGTAATATTTTCGGAAATGTATGTCATTGTTCTTAAAATATCAATATTATTTGTGAGTAGTATTTTTTTATAAAATTTCTTTAATATTATTTTTTTATATTAACAGAGAACAGGACCAAAAGTTAATAAGATATTCATTATTTTATATGAAACAAAATTTAGAGACTTCGGTAATACAGTTTTCAAAACGTAAAACAAATCGAGTATTTCAAATGTAATCCGAGAAAGGGACCACAGGGGTCTTTATAAAGGCCAATTGTTCTAAGTACCACAAAATTCATTTTTTTTAAGTCAGTTGCTATTTTTCACATTCACATTTTATAAATATTTTTCTAAACGCATAAAAACTAAATCTTCAGTTTAAAACACAAACAAAAAAAAACTAACCTAACTCTTTGTATCTTTATTATTATTCGCCACCACCTCCCTCCTACTTTCCCACCACTTTCTCTTCATCATCATCGTCATCATCATCTTTTGCAAGTATAGCCTTAATTTCTCGATCGCTTAAAACAAATTCTTTCCGCTCATCGATCTTTTCACCACGCAACATATCCAATATAACATCCTTACTCAATACAAATGCATTCTTGCCCTTTTGTATTACCGTCTTATCCAGTTCCAATTTCTTTTCCGACATCTGGATGATTTTCTCTTCGATCGTGTCTTTGGTAATTAAACGAAATACTCGCACCTTTTTCGTCTGGCCAATGCGATGGGCACGATCCATGGCCTGTAAATCCATTTGCGGATTAAAATCCGAGTCATAGAATATAACGACATCGGCTGTGGTCAAATTAATACCCAAACCACCGGCCCTGGTTGATAGCAGGAATATGAATACTTTTGAATCTTTGGCATTATATTCATCGATTTGTCGTGTACGTTCTTCGTGACGTGTGCTGCCATCTAGGCGACAATAGCTAAACGAACGCCACGCACAATAATCTTCCAATATAGTTAACATGATTTTAAATTGTGAAAATATTAAAACTCTTGATCCCTGCTGCTGTAGACGATGGAGAATTTTATCCAATGCCATCATTTTCCCCGAATTATTGACAATATGCATATCCGTGGTGTAGGGTGGTCCTGGTTCGGCACCATCGAATAAATACGGATGATTGGTACACTTGCGACATTGCATAAGTGTATTGAACAAATTCCTCTTTGTCACACTATTATCAATGTTATTTACCACCGTTATCTCCTTTCTCAATATTCTCTGATACCATTCGATTTGCATTTTTGACAGCCCCACATAAATTTTGGTGACTTTTTTCGGTTTCAAACTCTTCTCCACATCCAATTTTAAGCGGCGCAGCAGAAAAGGTTCCAATATGGAATGTAACCGCTTCACCAAGGCCGCATCATCCAGACAGGCATCTGTGTTGAACCATTGATCAAAATCATCGGCGCTATTGAAAATATCCGGCAGCATGAAATTCAACAAAGCCCACAATTCATGTAGGTTATTTTGTAATGGGGTACCGGTCAACAGCAAACGATTTGTGGTACTAAACTGTCGTATAAATGTCGATAGTTTGCATTTTTCGTTCTTAATGCGATGGGCCTCATCAATGACCATGTAGCGCCATTGGATTTTCTGCAACACCTGTTTTTCGTATCTTATCATTTCGTATGATGTTACACAGACATCCCAATTGCCGACGGCTAGAATATCCTTTTTAAAGTCTTTGCGATCCGATTTGTCGCCAATAAGACAGATAGCTCGAATCGTTGGACACCATTTCTGGAATTCATTCATCCAATTTTGTAGCGTTGATTTGGGCACAATAACCAAATGAGGACCAGCTTCATTACAATGGTGTTTCATATAGCCCAATAGGGATATGGTTTGTAGGGTTTTACCCAAACCCATTTCATCGGCCAATATGCCACAGATGTTATTCTCATACAGCGAAATCATCCAATTTAGTCCCACAATTTGATAATCTCGCATTTGACCTTTGATGTAATCGGGTGATGATACAAAGCGGAAGGGACCATTATTATTGTTGTTATTAATATCTTCTGTGATTTGTTGTTGTTTATTTTGTTTTTTGTTATTCTGTTTTTTTAGCTGTTGCTGCTGCAGCGGCTGTTTCTTGTTTGTTGGCAGTTTTGTTGTGGCCGTAAGGAAATTGGAAAATGATTCACTCTGTTTGAGTAGATATTCCAAACGGACATTACGATCAAGTTCTTCATTAGATTCCGTTGACAGACGTTGTTTTTTTGCCAGCGAATCAATTGTTTCGGTTGATCTTTTGCGTTTATTGTCGACCTGGAAATAGAAAAAAATATATATTATTATAAAATTTGGTATCATGTAAAGGTTTAATTTTATTAGAAACTCCTCCCAGAGAAAAAAGATATAACCAATATACCCGGGCAAAGCGAAGACTATTTCAATGCCCTCAAATCTCAAGTAGGAGGATCTATAATAATGGTTCATGTATTGTGGTTTATGATATGATTAAATGATATACTGGTAATTTTAAGCTTTTGGAGTAGTCCATGACGTCTTTGGAATCGCTCATGGTCCTTTAGGCTAGGTTCTCGTTTATGAAATAAATTGAAATTGTTTTCAATGCATAATATATTAGATGCAGCCTCGTGTAAAGGATATTTGAGTTTTTAATGTGTGAGGCCCTTGAGCCTCATTGCACATACCGGTTGCCTACCTAATAATTGCATTCAGCCCGAGCAGGAGTGCTTAATGAGACAGATTTTACAAAATGTTTAATTAGGTCAAAAGGTGGCCGACTGGAGTCACCGCAGGGGTAATCCGATGGCCAGACAAACATTATTTCCACAATGATGAAAATTTCCACAACAAAATGTTTTAATATTGGTTTTATATTGATCGGTTAATCGTTAAGTTCGTCAGTTCATAATCCGAATACCTAGTAGTAAATAGTAAAGAGGAAGAACTAAAGACTTCTAAATGGCAATATATGTTCTGTCTCCCTATCAATGAAGCTAATCTGCTACACAAATTGGCAACAATGATCTCTTGTGATTTCCTACTACTAGGCAGGTTACTTTCACTTTTTATTGTTATTCTTTAAAGGTGGCCATTGGAGTAATCTTCTGGATATTACGCATTGTTACACACATAACAAAGAGACGTGCATAAAAGCAGCTGTGAAAATGTAGTACACACATAAAGTCCTGCCATTCTATAGATAACAAAAGGATGAAAAAAATGGCTTTATTATTTTGAAAGTAAAACAACCCTAAAAAACATCTGCATCTTACCTTTGTTTGGGCGACATAGGTAGGTAGTTTTCGCCTAGAATAGTGAAAGTTGTGTGTGTGTTCCCCAAAACTACTTTACAAGGATTCTTTTCATTTGCAGAATGAAAATGAACTACGTTGAATATTTTGTTGCTATTTTAAGAGTATGTTTCATTTATATTGGGATTTTTGAAAACTATCTCTGGTGTCCTTTAAAAATATGTCTCATTAAGCCGATCCTTAGACAAGATTAACTATATTATCCTGAATGCTGGTCATAGGAAAGACAATTATATCCAATATAATATCCTTACTCAATACAAATCCATGCTTTTGCATTACCGTCTTATTCAGTTCCAATTTCTTTTCCGGCAACTGTATGATTTTCTCTCCGACATTGTCTTTGGTAATTAAAGGAAAAAATCGCACCTTTTTTGTCTGACCAATACGTGCTCCATGGCTGGTCATAGGAAAAACAATTACATCTACACTATTTTGATTACTTTCTTCCTATTTTTAGATATCGGATAATTTTGATACCGTTGGGGATCCTTTTGTGAGTTTCTAAGGAGTTTCATTGGAGTTTCTATCATTTTGTGTAGAAAGAATTTGATTTAAATAAAGTAGTCTTTAAAGGTGGGCGGCCATCGGTCTAGGATTTAAGAATTTCTCCTATCAAGAAATGCTAATACGAGCTATGCGACAGAATATTCCTTTTCAATAAAAAAATATGGGTAATCGAATCGTATTTTAATTGAAACTATACCAAATTTTGGACACCACTTTTTGCTATATAGGTATGAAGTTATTTGTTATCGGGATAGCTCGACAGCTTCAAAATGACTTCCATATACTGTCATAGATAATTTTATTAAATCCTTGTTCATTTGTTTTTTGTTGTTGTTTTGTCTAATATTGTATAAATACGAAATAACTGTGTGTGGCCGCGGATATAAAACTCTTATCCCATGTATAGATACCAACTAACACCGGCTAAACTTAGGAATTCTAATTTGCTGTCTAATTCGTAATCAGGACCTCAACTGCTTCAAAATGATACCCATATTGTCATAGTTAATTTTAAACTGAATAAAAAAAGTGCAAGTGTCATTACGGAACTCTGGAGGTTCACCATTCTGGAAGTATAGAATTTTGCTAGAAAAAAATCGATGTACCTATTTGTAGTTGTTTTAACGGGCTTACTGTTTTACATTATGGTTGTAATCTGATAGATCCCGGCTAAACTTAGGAATCCTATTTTGGCAAAAAATTCGTAATCAGGACCTCGACAGCTTCAAAATGATACCCATATTGTCATAGTTAATTTTAAACTGAATAAAAAAAATGTCATTACGGAACTTTGGAGGTTCTGGAAGTATAGAATTTTTCTAGAAAAAAAAAACTATGTATTTGTAGTTGTTTTAACGGGCTTACTGTTTTACACTGTGGTTGTAATCAGAGCCATTGGCCAGTGATATTATAAAATGTTCTAAATTATCCGCAACCAGGTCTTAAGTCCTAATAACCATAATATATCAAACTCCATCAATATTGCTTTATACCCAAGACAGAGCATGCAAAAATAGTTTGTAAATTTGATATGGCTTGTTGCGCAAAAAGTATTTATTCTTTGTTGTCCACTTATTTGCAGGACCCTCCATGGTTTCAAATTATCTACAAAACTAAGCCGGATTATGTGGATTACATCAATAAATTAAGTAATATTATACTTCACACAGACATGTCATATCTTGCAAAAATCCAAATGTCATTGCAAATTTATTGTAACCTATTGCGCCACAGAAAAACTCGCAATTTCTCTTACCACATTCTCCTTGTCTGCCACCAGGACATCTTCTCTTTCGAAACGTTTCATTGCAATCTATAGCACAACAATACCAAAAAAACGACTTAAAGGACTTTACAATTCAACAAACAAATCAGAAATGAATAAATTGTATGCCACATTTCGCGCCATGTCACCTTTTTCACCTAAACCAACAGAAAAACGTTCCAAATGATATGAATAAGGAAAACAAAAGAGGATCTTCAATGAAAAATGTGCACAAAAAACACATAATATATTTACGAATGTGTGTGTGAAACATAAGGGTGAAAATGTTGACAAGCGGCAGAAAAGAAATTGCAAAACTAGAAACAGGGATACATAAGTCGATTATAACCTATATGCCAAATCTCTTAGCGGCATTTGTTTTAATTTTGCCGAATAATGATTTTAATTTATAATTATTTATTACATAAATGAAATAAGTAAATGATTTTTGTTTATTTTTTTTCATTCAATAATAATCCATACCCCCACAATTTTGCAACGACTATACGATTATAGATCCCTATTTTACAAAAAAATTATATTAGGGTAGTTCACACTTCAAATTATAATTCACAGTTAGTGGTGTCTTATCCTAAATCCTGTTTATACAAAGACATCAATTTGATTTCGAATGGCAAGTCCATAGCTTTTACGTTAAATAAATTCTACCCATGGTACAATAATTACAAGGTAGGGCAGCTTGAGGTGAATAACAAAAAAGCAACAATGCACGTGTGGCCTCTTCTGTCAAAAATAAAATAAATATACGCAACAAGTGTTTGTGTTTATTTGACATTTTTTCTATACAAAACTAAAACCGCGAAAAATTAATGAAAGGTTATAATTTCTTCCCAAAATCCAGTAGGGAATACCATAAAATGTTTGTTTCATCCATAACAATGTAATTATTTCCAGACAAACGTGTTAAAAACTTTATGTTCATTTCAATTAAAATTGAATATATTTCAATTTATTTTGAATTTATTGACATTGTTTTCAAAACACATACACAATATATGTATTTTGATTTGATGGAACAAGCCACCCTGAGAAAAAATTGTAATCAGTTGGTAGCTGTGCCCTACCTTGTAATTATTATACCATGATTCTACCTCTCTAGATCATAAATATGGCCGGATTTTGGGAAGTATATCCATAAAACTACCATGGACGAAATGAAGCCTTTATAGACGAGCCGTAAGGGAGTCTTTATAGACGAGCGGAAGGGAGACGCATACGCATATTCATTTTAAACATAACGATACGCGACCGGTTCTTAAACATATTCCTTCCAGTGTACCCTTGAGCTTGACTCATACCTCTATGGACAATCTCCGTAGCTATAAAGTCCTCTATATACATCCTCTTTAACTATGTAGGCTCCAACAGAATTCCTACTTATCTACAGGAAATTCCAAAAAGACCCCTCCTCATTTACTCCAACCCCTTTTAAGTGTATCCTTATTCCATATCTCTGCACTTCTCCTTCTAACCTATTTAGACTTCGAAAAGGATCTACTTTCCTCTTTAAATCCTGGGAGTATATCAAAAAATATCATTTACATTTTTACATTTTTTACATTTTTTTATAAAATGCATTTTAGTTATAAATAAAAAAATCACACCCATGGGGTGGCAACATGCTCCTCTCCTTCCTTTCCTCCACTCTTTTTGTTTACTTCTTCAGTTTAATAAATTTCGATGCAAATTCATAAACGCCCACCGAATTGCCATTCTTCTCGTCATAGTCTACCCAATCATCTTCAGATAGATCAATATTTTCAAATGTTTGGCCGCCATCGACCGCCTTGGCTATCCAACCGGCACGGGGTGAGAATTCTACAGGTTCAGCACCACGACAATCGAAAATCACGATTGTTTTGAATTTACCATTATCGTCTTGGGTATAGGTGGCTGTAAAGAAATGGGGAAAACGGATAGGGTTCGGGTTTAATGGATTTAACTCGATCATCCATCCACTACTTACCATTCGACTTTTCCACAATATCTATGGAATTTTCCCGATTACACATTTTACATTTCATATAAAAATTGAAACCATCCGCATTTCGTGTATCCAATTGTGTTTTCTCCGATTCGATAATATCGTGCCATTTGTCGGATGTTTCACCACAATTGGTACAGGTGATTTTCACAAAGAATGCATAGTCGGGATGGCAGGTTTTCAGTTCTTCAATATTTTCTAAATTTGCTGAAATTTGTAGGCCAACGCGTACCATTTTTGGAACAAAGTTTTGTTTTTTTCTTAATTGCTTCTCCTGGAAGTTACTAGAGTCGTGTAGTTCAATGAATTTTATTCACTGAATGGTATTGCGTGAACTAGTCTCAACTGAATGTTCTCGACCGACAAAGAAAACAGCTGTTTATGCCGGCTAAAATACCAATTACCAAAATGAATAATGAGCAGTGTTGCCGTTAAAAAATGCAGTAATTAAATAAGTTTTTAAATACTACGAGCCAAAATATAATTCCTGCTTACCTTAGAAACTTCATTAAAAGTACCTTCCAATTTATACAGACCTCTATTAAGTTTATCCAGCTTGACTTGACTTACTTTACATTATTGTCTACCAGGGTTCTCCCTAACCTCTACAGAGCCCTATTGGGTTCTTTGTATCCTTGGCTTTAATTAGTTTGAGGTTATGATATTGAAAAATAAAAAAATGTAGTTTTTTTTTTGAAAAATACAATTTTTGTTTTATTAAATATTTTATATGTAGGTCTTTCATGTGTGTTAAAAATAGATATTTATGTGGATTTTCTTATCAACTTATATATTTTTAGCTTAATGATCGGTGTTTAACATTTTTCGTTTTTTATTTAAAATGTTTTGTTTCAAAACATATAATGTTAAGGTAAAATAGTTTCCAACAAATTTTAAATAGAAAAAAATGACTAAAAACAGCTATACAATCTGTTGTTACGAGATATTTGAATTTATATATAAAAAAATAATAAAAAATGAGAACAAAAAAATACCTACAATAAAGTGTTATATAAAAATATATATAGAATTTAAAAAAATATGTGTATTTTAAATTAATATTTGTTTTTTTAAGAAAAAAAATAAAAATGTATATATGACCATTACTTTACATTACTTAAAATTAAAAACAAAGAAGAAAAAATACAAAAAAGAATAAAATTAAAAAATAATAATTATAAAAAAAAAACAAAAAATAATAAAAAATTATAATGTTTCAAATCACTGGTCCTTAAATTTGAATAAAAAAGGAAAAAACCATTTGCATGCTTATCCACTAAAAAATAGTTTTTTAGGAATCTACTAGAATTAGAAATAATAAAAAATTACACTTAATAATTAAGATAATTATACACAAAACATTGTATGTATAATTGTCTAAAAGCAAGTCTAAAATCTCTAAGAAAGTTTTTACCACAAAAACAAAATTATATATAACATTTATAAAACAACAATTTGTTTTTTTGCATTATTGTTAAACAAAATCGAAGGCCTTTTTATGTAAGAAAAAAAAAATAAAAACAAATGTTTTTGTTTTCAATTAAAAAAGTTGAAAATATTGTTATCGACTAATGGCGATTTTTTTGTTTTATATTTTACACCACCTGAGGATCTGGAAAAAAAGGATTTGGTCTTTTACTTTGTTCGATTTTTTTAATTTAGATTTAATTGGAACCTTAATTTAAAATAAGTATGGGTTCGTTGTTGTTGTCCTATTGCAGTCCTATTGCCTTTACACAATGGGCTGAGGTGACAGACTTTGGCCTAGTAACACTCGGGTTATTTTGGATCGTAGACCCCTCTGTCGTGGAAACGTGTCGTGGGTTTGTAATCTGGGGTGTTTAATATTTTGCTGTCAGTGTAAAGTCTTATCAAGCCTTTGCTATGATAAACATACCTGTACAGAGCTCTAGACTTCAATAGAGCTCATACAGACCTATATAGATTTCAAAAAGAACCTACTTACTTATATAGGGCTCTCCATTGCCTATAAAGAACTCTATTGGGTTCTTCCTTGCCTATACAGGAATATATACAGAACTCAGACCTGTATTAAACTCATCCTATCCCATGCATACCTGTGTACAGACCTCTAGTCTTCTATAGATAGACTTCAAAAAGAACCTAATATTGAATCGGCAGCGACTAAGAAGGTGTACGACCCTAAAAATATATATTTTTTAATGTCTATACCTGAAGTATGTCCATAAAAATATTTTTACAAAAAATCCACGACTCATGTAGGACCATATAAATATTTTGTTATAGCTCCCATATAACTCTATTCGGGATTTTAGGGATATTGAGCTGGTCTTTGAATCGAATTGCCTGTAATTTGGTTTTTTGGCTTCTCATTAGGTGACAAATCTTCTTGCCACAAAATTATCAATATCGGTCCACGGCTATACCAAAGTATAGCCCCCATATGACGCTTTTCGAGATTTTAGGGATTTGGGTCTCATTTTTCAATCGAAATGTCTGTAATTTGGTATTTTGAGATCTCATTGGATAGCAAATCAACCTGCCAAAAAATTATTTGGTATTTAGGGTCCTCATTGAATAGGAATTTCTCCTGCAAAAAATTATCAATATCGATCCACGTTTTCGTATAGGCCCCATATAACCGAATTCTGGCTTTTGAGAATTTTAAACTCATTTTTCAATGAGAATGGCTGTAATTTGGTATAATGGTTTCTCATAGGGTAGTAAATCTTCCTGCCAAGAATTATCAATATCGGTACACAAATTGGTATAGCCCCCATATAACGGTATTCGGAATTTTTAGGATTTTTAGCTCCTTTTATAATCAAATTGGCTGCGATTTGGGATTTCGGTTTCTCTTTAGAGGACAAACCTTCATGCTAAAAATTATCAATATCGGTTCACGTTTCGGTATAGCCCCCATATAACGCCATTGGGAATTTTTGGCATCTTGACAAAAATATGTATTAAAAAATCTACGCCAGGTGTACGACCCCAAAAACATTTTTTTTTTTAAATCTGCGCCTCGTGTAGGGCTACCAAAATATATTTTAAAAAATCTAGGCCTCATGTAGGACTACAAAAGTAAAAAAAAATCTAGGCCAATGACTTTATAACCTTTTTGTAAAATCCTTTTTTATTTGTCCCTATTTTTATTAGAATCTATCTAAAAAAAACAAGGACTTTCGTCTTATCCAAATGTGGTGTAAAATATAAAAATTCAAGTTCAAACTTAACCTAACTAATGGGTGCTTTAATGTATGCAGTACAAAACAAAAATGGTGGATTATGAACCTAAATCAAAATATGTCTGGCTGAGTTTAAAGCTATCAACGAGGACGACGACGACTACGACAGACTAAACAAACAAATACACATTAAACATTAGACATAATATTACGATACAAATTTAAAATTACCACTAACTCTATGTGAATCGGGACAAAGCTGCTATCAAAAAAGTAGCAATTAAATATTCCTTTTTTTCTTAATCAGTTCAATGGTTTCCATTATTTCAAGTATAAAAGAGTGTACAGGAGAAGCTGATGAATGCGTGTATGTGTATGAGTGTGTGTGTGTGTGCATGAGTAATGTAATGTATGAAAAAAGAAGATCCTAGACTTAATTAGATTTATCGCCCACAATGGGAAAACGTACAACACGTATCTCATTGCCGTAGTCACAGACCACAGAATCATAGGCCAACATCATAGCCTTTGGACATAAATGTAAATTGGAGAAATCTAATTTAACTTCACGAGCCGGTTCTCCGGTGCGTACATCCCAAACGATGAGAGATCCTAAAAAATAAAAAAATAAACCCAATTATTACACAATATTCAAAATTTATTTTTTAACAGACTTACCCATTTTGCTGGTCACCAACAGTGATGGTGTCAACATTAAAAGACTCGAATATGCATTCGATATATTAATTGTGGTTAGCAGATTACCCTGGAATCGTTCCCACACACAAATACGTTCATCGGTGCCCAATGATATAACATAACTTGGGGCACATGCCAAACAGCTGACGGCACCATCGTGTGCTTGTATATTATACATGCACGCACCTGTATATAGATCCCATACACACAACAGGCCATCCTGGGAACCTGAACCACCGGTACCCGGTTGCCATCGATCCACAAATAGACATGTTATCGGACCACAATGTCCATGTAGGGTATATTCAATATCGCTGTTATTTAAACTGTAAACCTGGAGACAAAAAGTAGAAAAATAATTTAAAAAAAATCTACGTCTGTTTTAGAAGCAGAATTGTTTTTAATATCTACGCCTGATGTAGAAGTACAAATATATTTTTTTAACCAGTAAGGAAAGTTCAAAAGGACGGACGGGACCAGTTTGGGTATATAAATGACCTATTTTAGCAACCGTGGCATCCACCATTTGCTATGCTGCAACACAGTGCGCAATCCAAAATGTATCTCGACAAAAAATCCAATACAAAACTTGACATACATCAAGCTAGACCCAATTGTTTGGTGCAAAATCGGACGAAACTATATATGGGAGCTATATCTAAATCTGAACCGATTTCAAATTCTGAACCGTATGCCAAATTTCGTGCAAATCGAAAGATATATAGGGACATTGGTGGACCATTTACCTTAAATCGGACGAAAATATATATGGGAGCAATATCTAAATCTGAAGCGATTAAAAAAAACTTCGAAGACATCAGTCTGCACCTAATTCAGTACTCTGTGCAAAATTTTGTTTCAATCGAACATATATTAGCAGTCTGGTGCACCATTTACATAAAATCGGACGAAACTATATATGGGAGCTATATCTAAATCTGAACCGATTTTTTCCAATTTCAAAAACAAACATATGCACAAAGACATAATACCCTGTACCACAGTGTGGTGAAGGGTATACCTACATCTCATGTAGGACCCTAAAAATATTTTTTAAAAAATCTACGTCTCATGCAGGACCTTATAAATTATTTTTAAAAAATTTACGTCTCCTGCAGTTCCTCATAAATATATTTTTTTTAATATTTATTTTTACCTTCAGAGTATGATCCTGACTACCGGTAAATACCATCTCATTTACCACCTCCATACAGGTAATGGGCTGTTGATGGGCCAAACGAACCCCCCTCAGCGTGCATTTCATTTCTTCGTTTGTTGTTCGTTCATTGCGCGACTGTTGCTGATGATGATGTTGTTGTTGCTGCTGCTGCTGGTGATGCATCAGACCAATGCTACCCGTTGAATTGGTGCGAACATGGGCTAAAAGAAACAAACAAAAATAAATATATGAAAACAAAAAATATTATCTTCAAACGACAGATTACGAACTTACTTCGTCGATAAGCCGAGGTAAAACCCCAATCAATTTGTTTGCCCTTGTAATAGGTCTCCAGACGATAAAAGTCTAGACGGCCGCAGAGGCGGGCCACAATCACGCGATCACCATTTAAATTTATGTGTGTTATACCCTGATTACGTTTGGAATCTTCGTGATAAGTGCACTGCGAAAGGAGGGGGGAGGGAAATCAAATTATTATTTTTTATAATTTTTTTTTTCAATATTGTCTTACCTTCAAAATACCAGATGGCATTTCCCATAATTCAATGCGTCCATTGGCACAGCCCACCGCAATTAAATTATCAAAATAATCCAAACACCAAACGGGTGAGGAATTTAATTTCCTAACCACAACCTCACCATCCTCACGATGGGTTGTTACCTGGATATCACCGCGGTTGATGGTGGTGATATTTTCACCACTTCTGGCATCCCACACTTTAATTTGACCCTTCAAGCAACAACTTATAATATTGGCCCCATCCGATACCAAGCATTCAATGCGATGTTTATGTCCAGCAATTTGTATAGGAACACCTTCTAGGATCTGCTCGGTTTTCTGGGTAAATTCTGATGATTCATTCCAACTGGAACGCCATTCTGCATAGTTACGCGTGCAGATACAACGATAGAACACCACCATGGTGTAGCACAGAACAAAAACACTTATACAGCATAGGGTAATGGCAAAAAAGATTTCCATGGGACTTTTGGGAAAGAGAGGGGTGCCACCCGGCATTACCATGGGGGATTCACGGTTTTCATCATCACTAAAATCCAAAGGATCCAATGCGGCCGCCAATGCTTTCCATTGGAAATTTTGTACCACCTTCTCGTGGGGATTACGACCACGCACGGCCTTTTCGGGACTTATGGCATGGGACAGTTTTATGGTGGGTAAAATCGTGACATAACGCCCTCGCAGCGATACATTGTACTGCTTCATTATTGTGGACCAATGGAAGTTCGATAGGAAATAATTGATTTCATAATCGGGATAAAGTAAACGTTTCAATTCCGCCTCCGTTTCGTTGATATGACCTTCAAAGGGTGAGCCGCCAGTACCTTCATGTCCCGCATTAAGGCCACCAGCATTGTTGCCAAAAACACTATTACCCCCATAGGGATTGTGATCATCATCGTGGTGTATGGAATCCCCAGTCCCACCCGAATTAATTGCCGAATGAACATTGGAAAAGAAATTTGATACCGCCCCACGGCCCGCCATCCAATTACGATGGATATCATAGTTCCCGCCATAGATGCCACCCGTGCCAGCAGTACGATTACCATCGACCACAAATAGATTTTCCAGATATCCCGAATTGTAGATAATCGAACAGATCCACACACTCATCCATACCATAAAGGCGCGCTGGAAGAAACGGGTGCGGGCCCAAAAATTGACAATTTTCAAACGTTTGGGTATGTCGGGATGATGATGATGATTGTTGTTGTTGCCCAATGCAATTGAGGAACGTTTCATTTCTTGACCAGCCGCCGCCGGAACGTTGGCAAAATCAACAAAAGCCAATTTAGGATGTGATTGTGAACGATGAAAATTACCCGCACCAAAGGGTAGCGGGGCAAAACCATTGGCCGCCGTTGAATTGCCAAAAAATCGAAAATCAGGACGTCCATTGCTGGCAAATGGTCCACCATAACCACCCACCGCACTGGATGTAGGTGAGTTGCTGCCGCCGCCGCCCGTAAAGGATAACATCATTTTGGGCAAATGTTTGGCCTCGGTCGAGTATTCCGGTCGTTTAATGTTCATCGCTAATATGGTGGAAAATAGCAACATTTGTAACATATAATCGGATAGTAGACCGACAATGGCAAATACACAGAACTCTTGAATTACCGGTACAAAGGTGGCCAAACCAATTGTCAGTATGGTTATTTCGGTTAGCAGAGTTTTGGAAATGTGCCAACCTTCTTTGCTCAAGGCCTGGGCGACACGGATTTTCACATCGAAGGTTTCGTCGGTGGAGACAACACCTGTGGGGGGAGAGAGAAGAGGGGAAAAATTGTTAGTATTATAGAAATAACAATGTAGATATTCAGATGATGTGGATAATATTTAAGATGACACATGCAGGACGACATATGAAGGCTTTTAAGTGCCACTTTTTTAAACGAAAAACTTGCATTTTCGATTTCCAGATAAGAAAAATCCGCCTTGCAGGTCCAAATTTCCACATTTTTTCAAATTTAAATATTTTGTTTATACTTACACTTCGTTATAACTAGACAATTCTCCAAACCTAACAATATCACCAAATACGGAAATATATCCTTCGATTGCAGGCTAATGGTTAAACCGAAAAAGAAACACAGCCCTAGGGACATCACTAAACTACCCAGAATGGTAATGGCAGCACAAAAGGCCAACAAGCAACGCGAACGTATAACATCGATTTTTCGCACCGAAAAATAAACATAGGTAAAGAGCAGAACGAAAGCAATAGAAAGGGGTAAAAATTCCCACATTTTAAATTCGCCCGGATAAAAAATATATGTTATGGAAGATTTTTCGGTTAATTGTTGAGGTTTATGGGTTGATGTTGGGGTGGTCGTGGTTCCCTGTTGCTGCTGATTGATTTGTGGTGGTGGATAATATTTGAGCAGCTTTTCCTTTAACGATTGTATATATTCACGATCATTCTGTTTCAATATCAATGTGATGGCATATTGTATTATGCGTGAACGTGATCGTAGCGGATAACGCTTGAAACCGGTATCCTGCATGGGCAGGCCGAACAGCATTTCCGAGGTGGAGACTTTGGTTTTTTGTATATTCTGGAAAGAAAAAGGGAGAGATATAGAATAGATTAGATAGCTATTGGTCACAAAAAGGTTGTTTGGAGCTTCTGTAAGGGTTTTAAGGGTATTATTAATAAATTCGGAATTTTAAACCTATTTTCCCAAGGTGTCGATTTGATTGTAGAATATTATTTTTTCGTAGGCTTCAGAATAGAATATTATATGTTTCCAGAATCAGGTTAAAATACAAGTGTGAAAAGGCATTGAATATGGTTTATACCCAATGAAATGACTTGAAAGAGGTTTACATCTCTGACAATGGATTTAACACCAACTAAAAATACGGATTATGGGTTAACACCTACATCAAGGTATGAATAAAAGGTTTACACCTGCTGAAAATAATATTGATTAGTTTTACAGCCAATTTCAATGGCTTAATATAAGTCTAGATCCACGAACAACCTGGAGGTTTACAGCCACATCTAACTTCCTTCTGGAGGTTTACACTCACATTTTAAATAGTTTTGAGGTCTACAACACATCTAGCGCCATTCCGAAAGTTTACTCCCATGTTTGTAATCGTATTAGAGGGCTACAACACATTTAACGTCATTCCGGAAGTTTACACCCACATCAAACGTCTTTTTTTAAGTTTACACCCACATCTATGATCATTCTGGAGATTAACAACCACACCTAACATCATTCTGAAGGTTTACACACATATCAAACATCGAACATTATTCTGGAGGTTTACAACCACATTTTGGATCGTTTTAGAGGTATACAACCACACCTAACATAATTCTGGAGGTTTACACCCTTGATGTGGAGTTTACACCCACATGCAACTTCATTCTGGAAGATTACACTCACATTCAACTACTGTCTGGAGGTTTACACCCACATCCAACTTTATTCTGGTGGTTTACAACCACATTTTACATCGTTTTAAAGGTCTACATCCCACATCCAAATACATTCTGTAGGTTTACACCCACACTGTACATCGTTTTAGAGGTCTACATCTACATCTAACGCCATTCTGGAAGTTTACACTCACATCAAACGCCTTTCTAAAGGTTTACACCCACATCCAACTTCATTCTGGAGGTTTGCACCCATATCCAAAAACTTTCTGGTGATTTACACCCACATCTAACTTCCTTCTGGAGTTTTACACCCACAATCCACATCGTTTTAGTGGTCTACAACCATATCCAACGTCATTCTGGAAGTTTACACCCACATTAAACCCCTTTCTAGAGGTTTACAGCCACATCCATAGAGGTTTACAGCCACATCCATAATCATTCTGGAGGTTTACACCCACATCTAATTTCCTTCTGGAGGTCCGACTTTCGACATTGTTCAGATATTAAGCTCAATAAAATATTTCGGGTTCTCATGATGTGGTAAATTTCTCTACGCAAAATAATCAATATTGGTCCACTTTAAAACATTATCCCCATATAACGATACCTTCCGATTTTCGATATTTTGAGGAATGTGTGTACATTTTCCAATTGAATATGTTTTAGTTTTATATTTTGTATTCTCAAGGGGTGGAAAATCTACCTACCAAAAATAATCAATATTGATCCACATTTTGATATGAACCCTATATAATGATACCTTCCGATTTCCGGTATTTTAAGGATATTGGAACTGGTTTCCTAACCAAATTGGTTGTAATTTGATATTATAGGTTCTCATTGGCGTACTTGATTTCCCTGCCAAAAATATATAGCGTTGGTCCACCTTTACATATAGTCCGCATATAACTTTACCCTCCGATTTGCGGTATTTTAGGATTTTGCATACTTTTTTAAACCGAATTGGTTATAATTTGATATTTTGGTTTCTCATTGAGTACCACATCTCCCTACCAAAAATTATCAATATTGGTACACGTTTAGATATAGACGTCGTATAAACATATTCTCCGATTTTCGATATTTTGATGAATTTGAAGACATTTTCCAACCAAATACAAACCGTATTGGCTGTAATTTTATATTTTGGCCTCTCAAGGAGTAGAAAATCTCCCTACCATAAATTATCAACATTGGATCTCATTTCGATATAGCTACCACATAAGGACACCTTCAGATTTTCGTTATTTTGAGGTACATTTTGATATTTTGGGTACATTTTCCAACCGAATTGGCTGTAATTTTATATTTTGGGTTCTCAAGTCTCTCTACAAAAAATAAATAAATTTTGTCCACATTTAGGTATAGCCTCCATAACACGATACCTTCCGATTTTCGATATTGTGATGCATTTGGTTACGTTTTTTAACCAAATTGGCTGTAATTTTATATTGAGTTCTCAAGGTGTGGAAAATCTTCCCACAAAAAAATAATCAATATTGGTCCACATTTAGGTATAGCTGCCATATAACTACACCTTTCGATTTTTGATATTTCGAAGTATTTGGATACATTTTTTCAGCGAATTGGCTGTAATTTTATATTTTGGGTTCTCAATGGATTGTAAATCTACCTACCAAAAATGATCAACATTGGTTCACATTTCGATATAGCTCCCATATAACGACACCTTCCGATTTTTGATATTTTAATGAATTTGGGTACATTTTCCAACTGTATTGGATGTAATTTTATATTTTGGGTTTTCAAGGGGTAGAAAATCTCCCATTCCAGAATTAACAATGTTGGTTCAATTTTAGGCATAGCTCCCATATAAATATACCTTCCGATTTTCGGTATTTTGAGGAATTTGGGTACATTTTTCAACCGAATTGGCTGTAATTTAATATGTAGGATTCTCAATGGATAAAAAATCTCCCAATCACTATAACCCGCATATGAATTTGGATACATTTCCAAACTAATTAACTGTAATTTGATATTTTGCGGATTTATTATCAAATTACCCTTCGAAAATTATATATTTTTAGTTATCAACATTGTTCCATGTTTCAATATCAGTTTTGGGTGCATTTGTTATCAAAAATTTATGATATTGGTATAGGTCCACCTTTTGGAAATTTCTTATTTATGGAAATTTTGTGTGGCGATTCCCATACTTCCTACCCTCCCTTCCTATACCTTTTTGCAGTTTAAAAAAAAAACTTCACATATCATAAAATCATGTTTAAAAAAAGCGGATAGTTTCTTCGTTTAGGTTAATAAAGATTAGCATTGTTTGAAGGCCGTTTTACAGATAACAGATAGGTGGGTAATTGTTGCTACTTGACAAATTATCTAGCTGCCAAAAAAAAATAAATATTTACTGCACACCCAATAACAAAACAATGGTAAAATGGTCGACTCGAATGATACTCTACATGTGTGAAGGTGAAATGGAGAAAGAGTAGGTCTTCTATGTTGAGACGTTTTGAACTTTTAAGAGATGACTTTTGTGCTTTTCTTTAAAAAGGCCTAATCGTATCGTAGACCTCTTGGTCTTCTATGAGAGGAATTGTAGGTCTTCAATGAGAAGAGATGGAGGTCTTCTATGAGCAGATCTTTTGTCCTTCTATAAGAAGATTTTTATGAGATTAGGTCTTCTCATAAAAATCTCTACTACTCTACTCTACAAGAAGACCTACTAGTATTCACTAAGAAGATGCCAGATGGACTTCTGGGTGATGATATATATGCAAAGTGTTGAAATGAAATGGTGATAGGCGCAAATGTTTTTGTATTCAATATTTTCTTTTTTTTTAATCCATTTAGTTTCGAACAATCATCAACATATATACAAACATCTATATGTGTGTTTTAGCACGCATATATGTACTGATACTTGTATGAGTTATTCTTAATGCAAATATTTGATAATATTTTGGTTGTTGTTGGTGTTGCTGTTTTTAGTTTATTTGTTTGTTGGCTGGTCAAGAATAGAAGCAACAACAAAACGACAAAAATTTCCCCCCACACTCACAACCCATTTGACATGGACGCGTCACCCATTATACACGCGTGCAAATATATTTATGGCTATATAAACAGTTTTGTGTGTGTGTGTTTTTGCAGTTTGGCGAAATTTTGTGCGACCAACTTAACAACTATTAGGCGGGCCAAACAAGCCGATTTGCAGGGGGAAAAACAAAACCACAATTTATTGGTTACAACCACTGATAGCCGGTTTCAACAACAGAATGCATACAAAATAACATGAATAAAAAAATATTTTGAAGTTTATTTGATGTTGAAATTAAAGGACATTCTCCAATTTGGTTAATTTTAGACATAAATAAAGTTAGCACTACAGTTCGAATCATTGAATCATTTTGATGGGGAAATTTACTGCCCAACCGGAAACTAAAATATCGAACTTAACAATATATCGTCAATTTTGGGATAAAGGTGTAGGGGGACTGCAACTAAAGATTAACAATATAACCTCTGCTTTATGGCTACGACAAAATGTGACTAATCGTCTGTCGGGTGCGCACAGTAACTCGATGTGATATAAGACTAAATCCCCGAACAACGACTATCTGGAGGTTTACACCCACATCTAACATCCTTCTGGAGGTTTACACCCACAATCCACATCGTTTTAGAGGTCTACGACCACATCCAACCTCATTCTGGAAGTTTACACCCACATCCTATGACTTTACACCCATATCAAAAAACTTTCTATAGGTTTACAACCACATATAAGTACATTCTGGAGGTTTACAACCACATTCTATATCGTTTTAGAGTTTTACAACCACATCCAAAGTAAGTCTGGAAGTTTACACTCCCACAGATCCACATCTAACTTTAGAGGTTTATATTCACATTCAACGCCATTCTGGAAGTTTACACCCACATCCAATGACTTTTTGGAGGTTTACACCCATATCAAAAAACTTTCTGTAGATTTACACCCACATATAACTTCATTCTGGAGGTTTGCAACCACATTCTACATCGTTTTAGAGTTTTACACCTCATCCAAAGTAAGTCTGGATGTTTACACCCCTTTCTAGAGATTTACACCACATATAACTTCCATCCGGAGGTTTATATCCACATTCAACGCCATTCTGGAAGTTTACACCCACA